AATTTTTAATTGTTACTTCTTCAAGGGCGTTCCATAGCTCGTCGTCTCTGTGGTCATCCAGAGGATCAAAGTTTTCTTATTGTTCCACTTAAGAGAACAGGTGATTGGCTAAGAACTGAGACACATTTTCGCGACTCCTGCAGTTGAAGGCCTTTTATAGAGATGCCATCGATGAATATCTCTCCGTCAGCCTTAGGCATGCGTTAAAGGGCTGCCACAATTGACAATTTTCCATCTCCTGTGCGACCGACAAATCCTAACTTTTGTTTCTCTGGAATGTCAAAAGTTAAATGTTTCAAAACTTGTGGTCCACCTGGGTAATACCTCAAAGAAACATCTCTAAAGCTCAGGTTGCCAGCATTTGGCCAGTTCACGGGCGGAAGTGTTCTGATTTTGTACCCTGGTTCAGGCTTGAGCTTGGTGTAAGCCATGACTCGCTCGACAGACGTCATGGCGTCCTCGACGTCTGCAAATTGCCGGACAGCAAGCTGGCACATATTTGCACTATTGATGGCGTACACCAGAACAAGGCCAGTAAATGCTGTGAGTAATAAGATGAACACTATAAATAAAGGCAAAATTCTATGCTTACAGAGGCGCCGCCGTCTGGAACGTATTAGGATGATCTGATGGATCGATGTTTGACTATAAAGAATGTAACACTTAAACGGATTTTACACTTCATACTCGTATTTACATTTGCGGAGTAGAGTGCAAAGAATATTCTCTATTAAGTAATTCCTCGCGAAGCGCCGAGCCGCGAGGTTTATAATCTCGTCGTGCGCGAAACGCGCGTGTATCACACGAGCATCGCAAGGCCAGCGTTATCTTCTCTTGGCTATAAATCAATCCAGTTTCTATCGTTTTTTCTACGTGAATTTGTACCACGTGACCAAGTTTTCCCCTTATTTTCCGTTTACTCTTTATTGCTTCTACACAAAAATAAGTAGTCTTATGCCCTTTTAACCATAGTAATCGTTCGGAACTGTGTTTATCTGCTTATTTTCTATTCTGAGAAATTCTCAACTTGAGTCTCAGGTTTGCCCGTTTGCGGTAAACGTGGATCTTAATCTCCCTAATGTGTTAAAGTCCTTACGTCACTAGATGCCCGTTAGACGATTTAAGAGTTCAGACATGCTTTTTCATCTTAAGATAGCTGCAGATTGTGGCACTTTTCCTAAAATATGCGGGTTGATGGGGTGATGCGCCACAAGCCCAACTCAGTCATATCAGTCTGGTCATATGCCTTATCGCTACGGTAGCCATGTACCTCCAGGATTGTAAAGCCATAGCATAAAGCATAGCCCCCACACGGGAAGCAGCCCTCGTCTTGAGGAAAGTACTTTGGGCGCGAAAAAAAATGTTTAATGACTCTTTTTGTTTGTTGATATAAAAGTTATATCAAAATTTGTAAAACTTTAAAATCACAAAGAAGATTTTGAAATAATACTTAGTTTTATTTAAAAGTGAATTACTCTACAATAATACTATGAGTCATATTTGATATATTTCCATTAAGACCTCGACTATAAGTGTTTATTTGAATCTATGGCTTTCAATGACTAGGATGGAAACGAATTGAAACTAACTAATTGGGACAATTTAGTATAACTGCTTGTATTTCAAAAGGCACTGCTTTTCTTTCTGGAGTCTTAAAAATGTCACTATAGGTAACCTTGGACTACAATTAGTATGATATTATTAAATCAATTATAATTCAAACAACAGAAAGATGTCTTATAGCTTAGTCGGCGCTGTACTTTTCCTTTTTAATCGCAAGCACACGAATCCTGTGGGCAATATGCTGGACAGTTGAGGTAGCACCAAGCGTCTGCATCGGATTCGCCCTGCCATGGCCCTATCGCATAGCAAACACCAGAGGTAGTTTGGGAAACGATAGGTGGAATTTCACTTTGGTCAACATATTCTCCACCTTCCAGAGCGTCTTTTACTGCATTTATTAACGGATACCTGAGATAAGAAACGTTTGATATTTTCATCAGATCTCCATAATAACCATTTTTGGGGGGACAAAGCTTTCCTTAATCAGTTTTTTGATATATAATTATCATCCCCTATGAAAACGTAGCTTATAATTAGCGTTAAATATTTTTAAATCCTTTAAACTCATATTTCCCTAAAGTTGAACTCAAATCTTGTATTCCCGAATTTTCAGATAGGTGAATTTCACTAGGTCCTTAAAGGGAAGATATGAAGGCTCTGTTGTTTAGACATTAAAAAGGTAAATAAAGTCTTAAGACTTGTTTCGTTTAATCAATATTTTAGTTTCATACGAACCGGAGATGGAATGTTTCTCGTCTCATTTCTAAGAATTTTGTGTTGATCTTGAGGTATCCAGATGCTCATTAACTAGACATAGTGTCTCTCTTGGGTACAACTTCGTTCGCTAAGAAGAGAGAGTCCTTGGAACGAGTTTGCTTTGAGTGTCCGAGATAGCTTTTTAAACTCCTTTTTAGTTCAACGGAAAAGCAAACATTTTCCTGATGATCAAACCACTTTCGAGATTTTATTTTTCTCTTTCTGCGTTATCAATTTTGTCAAGATTTTCTCATAGAAAATCTCCAATAACACCTAACTGCCATTTTCTTCTGAATTTTGTCAGTAGACTCGATTCCAAACTGAAGAAAGGCAATAAGTAGGACCCCAAGAAAATAATTGGTGATAAGGGAAATATACCTTCCTTCACGGCAGAAAGTTCCCGTGAAGTCGTCCAGATCAAATGCCCAGAACATAGCGCCAAGCAGATTTTTTCCTTTAATAAGGGTATTAAATTTTTTTGGGGGGCACACTGGGAAAACCGGAAAAAATGAAAAAAAAAAGGAGGTTAAAAAAAAAGGGTTCAACCCCCCCGGGATTGGTTTGGGAAACCAAAAGGGGCGCGGTTTCTGGGGGAAGGGTCACAGTTTTTTTTTGGGGAAAAAAGAAAGGTAACGGTTTTAAAAGGTAAAAAAAGGGGGGGCCCTGAAAAAAAAAAATTCCCCACCCCCCCCCCCCGGCCCCCCCCCCCCCCCCCCGCCATCAAAAAAACAGGAACGCGCACCTCCGTGTCTTTCAGGAGTACGTTGAATTCGTGCACATGTAGTTGTGGGTAGGACTGCTAGTAAGGAATGAGATTCAGGCTTCGGGCTTGTGACGAGGCGAGTGTCTGATTGTCTGATGGAGCGATTTTCATATGACCTTAAAAAAATGGTTTCGGTAAGTGTTCGTTATTTGTTTTATCAGCCAGTGGATGAAAAGATCAAAACATGACCTCTTCGTTTTCCCGCCAAAGAAAACCCTAATATGGAGAAGGTATTGTTCGATTGGCCCATACACATCGTGTTGCACTTTCACGTCAAAGTAAAGTATCGGTTGATTTCTAGAAAGTTTTCGGCATGAAGTTTTTTCACCCGAGCGTTCTCTTAACCAACCAAAAGCCACGCGCGTTTGTATCCGTTCGATAAACCAGTCAAATCCCTCTATTGCCGTTCGTTTGTTGTTTCTGTTTTGTTCGCGCATTTTCATTTCAAGGTCATACGAAAATCTTTCTAACACGTCAGGCATTGTGAAGCACGAGGCATCCTGCTCAAAGCGAGTAACAGATTTTCAGGTCCAAAGCTAAGCTAAAATTCTCATCTTTTTTCATACTCATAGGAATTCTAAAAGGGTTAGAACCCAACCGCTATGTAGAACGTAATAAACAGCACCATGGGGAGGTACTGCTTGGTAGCAGTCATATGAATGGTCATACTTTGAAGTTTTACCCACAGACTCAAAAGATAGAACCACCTCGTACAGCACAATAAACAGTATACCTCAGGAACGTACTGCTCAATAGCTTTCACTTGAATTGATTGTTCACACTTTAGGATTTCATCTAAAGATTCAAAAGATAGAACCACCTTGTACCAAAGGAAAGTACTGCTCTGACTGGGTGAAAATTTGATCTGTTTCATTTTTATATAAACAATTCAAATACATAAATTTAATCAACTGATCCGTTTTATTGAAGCGCCTCTTGGTTACAATTTGGCTATATAATTATGCATGAAACTAGTGTTTTTCCATTGCAGTTTTCTAAAAGTAATAAGGTTACTTGATTTTAACTGTATTTAATGTCACATGTCTATTGCTAAAATGTTACGACTTCCAGAAAAAGTCTCAGCAATGTTTTTGAAATTTTAGGAACGTAATCTTCATCTCGGACCTCTTAACAGAGTATAGTAGCAATTCTTCTTCCAGTTGCGCATTCCTTGACAATCCTCCTTACCACTGAGGTAAAGACCACTCAGGTTGGGGTTGTGACAACTGCTGTACCACCAGGCGCCTTTATAAACCAAGGCACAGTTTGCACTGTGTTTATCGTTATCACGATCCTTGAACGAAAATGGCATAGCGCGATGAGCGTCAAACGAATCACCAGCGGTTCCTACGAAAAGAAATAAAAAAGGAAAATATAGGTTTTACTTTTATCGTTCATTTTTTGGAGAGTTTTTGCAAACGGGTGATTTTACTTTACGCGAAAACAGTTTCCACGTTCATAGTATTCCAAGTTGCCATGGACAAAACACTTCTAAGACTTTCAAGTCCAAGTATTTTTTCCTTCATCTGTTGTTTCTTTTTTAAAGCGTTAGATGGCTCCTATAATTTAATAGCTTATGAAGCCAGTCGGTTAATAGATATAAAAAAGCAAAATTAGGCTAAAATAATGAAAAGAAAAAAGAAACTGAAAAATCGTCATTTTTAATACTTTTTGTTATGATCTTATTTTTGTAAATAAAGTCAATTCTTGTTGTAAAAATCAAAGATACCTTTTACTGTCCAATTTCAATCGATTGCAATTAACTCCTTTCTTTCTTTTGTTATTGTTGTTTTTGCCTATCAGCACTAATCTTTTTTTGCCAACTGATTCTATTTCAATCGAGTAACTTACCTGAATAACTTCCCAAATTTAGTTGGTATTTCGCCCTCTCGCTTATCACAGAAAAGGAGCTGTACTCTGCAAATGCGGTATTTCCATGATTGTCTTCCAAGTCGCGGAGTTTATAACCACCGCTTAGAATCAGACAATGCATCTTGTCCAAACCGAGTTTAAACTCACCGTTCAGATTACCAAAACCGCGTTTGTAATCATCCCAAGCGCGGAAGAAATCAACAGAGCCATCTCGCCTCTTCTGAAACACCGTCCAACCTCCACCGGCTGTTTTCTGATCACAAAACACTTCAAATTCGCCCAGGATTGATTTTATACACTCTACTGTTCTTGTCACCGGACTTGTAGACTTCAGCGCAGTTCTTGTGAACTGAAAATAAAATGATCATTCGATGCCGTAATTAGTTTTTGGCTAATATTTCTTCGCGGTTTTCTTCGAGATAAGTAGTTAACCCAAAATAAGAGTTGGTAAATTTAATAAAAAAAAAGTGACACAAAAGCTGACCTATAATGTATTAGACTCAGTATTTTAAAAACATTTAAACTTAGCCCTCCCTCTATTTTGGATTTTGCTTGGATCTATACAATAATAAAGGAGGATCTACTTGACCCATAAAATTTGTTTTAAGAACTCATTATATAGTAAAATAAGAAACGTATTTCCGTGACATTTTTCGAGGGGTTTTGACGGTATGTTAGTGAGATATTGGTGACGATGATCCACTTTCCTCATTTGTAGTACAAATTAAGTTGCTGTTACAAACCTTTTCCGTTACCGGACCCAGGAGTTTTATTTAATTTTCTTTTAATGCGCTGATTTCTTGTCGTATTTCCTCTAGTTGTTGCTCGATTGTTCTGCAGTTTGGTCCGGCGGGAACTTAACAACCACGACGAAGTTTGCGACGACGACGTCTGTTGACCGGGAAAGCACTGGAACGAGAAACTTCAGTTTCGGCGGGAAATAGGAAACTCAAGATACAGTCGGTCGGTAGGACGACGACGGCACTGAATGTTAACACAAAACTGTTCGTTCGCGACAAAGTTTTTTCGCAATGGCGTCTTTTAAAACAATGCAAGATCTTCTTTTTTTGAGCCATCAGTCTAATTTCATTGATGATGAAGAATTTTTAGTGTTGTCTGACCTTTTCGAATGGAAAAATCCCTGCTTTCCGTACGAAGATTATTCACGGTTCAACCTGGATGAGATAACCGAGTCCGAGTGTCTGTCAGAGTTCAGATTTTGAAAAAGAGACATTCCCATACTCGCAGATGTTCTTGGCATTCCAGAGACCATACGGTGTGAACAAAGATCTACTTGTGACGGCCTGGTGGGTCTTTGCATGGTCCAGTTAAGACGCTTGTCATTCCCATGCAGAGATGCGGATATGATTCCCAGGTTTTAGAAGTCCGTCCCAGTTATAAGTATGGTGACGAACGCTGTGCTGGACATTATATACGCCACCCACAGTCCTAGAACTCGATGGAATCTGATATCTTGGACCCCGACCAAATGGAGATGTACATGTACGCTGCAGCAATAAGCGCAAGAGGTGCCCCCCTGCAAAATTGCTTTGGATTTATAGACGGCACCGTAAGACCAATCGCTCGCCCTGGGGACAACCAACGTATCTTATACAACGGCCAGTTCCAGTCGGTGGTTTTGTCAAATGGCTTAATTGCTAATATGTACGGTCCAGTAGGTAAGTTATGCATTCTTTAAAGTAAAAAAAAATTAAGCTTTTAAGATTTGAATGCTCTGTAGAGTTCTCTTACGGTGAGCTTACGGAATTCCGTATACATAAAAGGGTGCATTAGCCAGATATTATTTTTTCGATGTTTTCTTACAGAAGGCAGAAAACATGATACATCCATGCTGATGCCTGGCCAGGGAAAAGCGCCCAGGGGACGAGGTTGGACTTCGTAATTTAAACTGGTACAGCTCGATGTCTAGAACCTCCCGGCACATAAGTATGTCACGATCGTGACTCCATGTAAAATTCGGATTCCTAAAAATAAATTAGACCGTAACCCTTTGCAAATGTTCGCGAATTAGTAATGTACAAGTGAACTCAAAGAGTAAACATCCCCCGGGCGACCCCCGCGGCAGTTTCAGGTCGAATATGCAACACATGTTTATTTACATCATATTTTTTTTACATCAGACGAGGTTTCTATTCGGCATATTGCTCGCCAAAATTCAATGCAATTTGAAGTTATCTTAAAGGAAGCGCAGGTGTGTAACGTACTGTGTGGATAGTACAACGAGTAAAATGAGTTTTTGCGTTTTTCTCCTAGCTCCACACGAGCTAGTCTGCCAATACAGACGTCTCTCAGAGCTACCCCGCCGCTCGAAAATGGTCTTAGCAGTGGGAAGCGATTGAGAGGCGGCTATTTTACCCAGGTTAGGAACGAACGGTTGAGGCGTTAACGCACCAAATTGTAGGAAAGTATGCTTTCCCTATCCACCTCCCCGTTCTCAGCTACAGGGGTATCCCGGCAGTGACTGCAAACCTTGAAAAAGGTCTATTAAACGAGACCAGACGAACATGGCTTTAAAATGTAAAAAACACTCCAACGGGGGGCAAGCAACCAGAACTGTACGTTTGAGTTTTCAATCAAAGCAAAAGGATGAACTTGGATGAACGGCCAGACAAGTGCCGATCGGAACCTGATAAATTGAAAGAAATGATTTATCATCATTTAATAGTTTCTTGAATATGAAGCTTAAATCTAACAATTAAAGAAGCACCCCATTAATTCCTTAATGAACTGAAAAACAACAAAGAAAAAAATGAAATGTATTTAAATTTATGCCGTGATTAGTGATTTTGCTGATTTACTGGGGTGAACTATTACTAGTTATTATATAGTCACGAGTGTTTTACTGGAAAATATACCACTCGTAAAATTCATAAAAACTACATCCGGTACCCGAGTGGTTTATTTTCCATAATCTCACACGTGAGTTTATCGATGACGTATTTTTGGTAATTTCCCTCCGGAATATATTTACGTATCATTTTTTGAATTTTACTTAGAGTTATTTACACATTTACAAAGCTTTGCTTATATTTTGTCATTGTAAACCCCTATTCAGCTCAGTGTTGTTTCTCAAGATTATTGTAAACAATGTCTTATATTGCTGTATTGTAAATTTGAGCCGTCATAATTAGTTTTTGGCGAATAACAATCTGTTCTTTTATCAATGTCTTTTTGTCTATGTAATAAAAAAAACATTATACGGCGGCTTAAAGATATGAATTTCATTTTCTCGTGGCAAAAATAATATTTTACTTACTCGCTGGGCTCGTTCGTAAAATATTATTTTGCCACACGAAAGTAAAATTGATATCTTCTCGCCACCGTGTAATATCCTCTATTAAATAAGCTCTACAGGCAGTTTGAATTTAGACAACTATACTTTCTTCATTATGAGTCAATCAGATTCGGCCAGAGATCTATTATAAATTATCTATTTAAGATAGACTTCTGTTTGGCTCAAAATATTAGTAACACAAAGGTATGCCAGTATGCATTAAAGTGAATAAATATTTATTGTCCGGCCACGAGATGTTCTATGCAAATGTTAAATAATTTTATTAGTGATAATAGATTACACAGCACCTACTAAAAATACACAGACGAGAAAAATCTTGTCTAAAATTAAAACATAATTACGAAAGGTCCGCAGAAGTCTTAGTTTCATTTCTTCTCTAAATTTTTTAGTGCCATTGTAGGACAGTTCTTTCCAAAAACTGTCCATACTGAAGATGAAACATTTTTTTGGAGCTATCCTGTTTACTCACCTCATCGCAACACATGCCAACTCTACAGTAAAACCGACAAAGGAAGCTCACTTCAATGTGAATAACTACAACAGCTTCTACGCCGGACCAAACTGTAAGAAAATCGAGCAACAACTAGAGGAAATACGACAAGAAATCAGGGCATTGAAAGAAAATAAAACTACTGAGTCAGTTAACGGAAAAGGTTTGTACATTGTACTAGAAATGAGTAAAGTGGATCCGGGTCATCAATGCCGATCACCAAAATGAAATCGAAATGTGGCGAAAATTAATACGTATTTTTATTTCATGAGTTCTTCAGAAGAAAACTTTGTCAATTGATTGATAATGGCTTCCTTGAAGAAGAATTATCGTCATTTTATTTTCAGTTTACAAGAACTGCGCTGAAGTCTACAAGTCCGGTGACAAGATCAGTGGAGTGTATAAAATCAATCCTGATGGTTTGGGCGAATTTGAAGTGTTCTGTGATCAGAAAACAGCCGGTGGGGGTTGGACGGTGTTTCAGAAGAGGCGAGATGGCTCTGTTGATTTCTTCCGCGCTTGGGATGATTACAAACGTGGTTTTGGTAATCTGAACGGTGAGTTCTGGCTCGGTTTAGACAAGATTCATCGTCTGACTGTAATTGGTGGTTATAAACTCCGTGTCGACTTGGAAGACAATTATGGAAATACCGCATTTGCAGAGTACAGCTCCTTTTCTGTGACAAGCGAGAGAGCGAAATATCAGCTGAGTTTGGGAAGTTATTCAGGTACGTAAGAAGATTAAAATAGAATCAGCCAGCGAAAAAACTAGTGCTTATTGACAATTAAAAACAAAACAACAACAAAAACATCAAAACATGTTTAATTGAAATTCAGTGGAAAATGGAAGTTCAGTTAAAACGACAATTAACAACAACAATGTCATAATTTAGATTTAGATTTAGATTTATTAAATTTAATGTATTATCATTTTTAATATATTTTATTTTAAGCCTACAATAGTTTTACTTTGTTTTAATTATCCAGTATAATAATAACGTTCACACAGACGTCTCAGTGCGATTGATTTCACTTGAATGGTGATATAAACTTTAACTCTACTGACAAGGAATCGTTTATAACAGCTAGATTGGGAAAATAAGACCTACAAATTTACAGTTTTCTTTATTTATTTTTTTGTAGGAACCGCTGGTGATTCGCTTGGTTATCATCGTGGTATGGCATTTTCCACCAAAGATCGTGATAATGACAAGAACAGCGGCAACTGTGCCTCTCATGAAAAAGGCGCCTGGTGGTACAACAGTTGCCACTGGTCCAATCTGAACGGTCTGTATCTTCATGGTAAGGTCGATGATAGAGGAATGTCTTGGTACTACTGGAAAAAAACTCACTATTCGGTTAAGAGATCCGAGATGAAGATACGTCCGAAAGGTTTTTGACGCATTTGTGGCACTTTGTGTCAAGTGAAGCTAAACGTACGTCTCTGGAGGTCTAACTAACAATAGGCATTTAGTACTAAATATAAGCTAATACGGTCAGTATAGTTAAAATCAAACCTTATTCTTAGACAACTGTATTCAAAAACAATATTAACTACACTGTTAAGAGGTACTTGAATAAAACATGAATCAGTGGAGGGAATTTACCTGTTTGAATTAGTTTCACAAAATCAATGAAAGCTACTAAGCAGTATGCTCCTGTGGCTGTGACTGTTTATTGTACTGCGTATGATAGCGGTTTTACTGGTTACTGGACTCAGTCAGAGTCTGAGGCTGAAGTTTTCCAATGAAAGTTTCTGTGTAGTAGCTTCCCACGGTACTTCTAGGGACTATGTCACGAGGATACTGTTTTTCCTCGAATAATAGCCCTCCTCGAATAATCGCAACCTCTCTCGCCATCTTCTCTTTCTTTTAACCCCTCCTTGTGGGAGGAATCTGATTTAGCAAAACTGATCAGTGAAGATTCAAGCTCTGAAAATTAATCAAGGAAATTAACCAGCTTTGGAACACTTAAAAAGCCCATGTTCAGGGATAATAAAGCAAAATATTTAGGCCACGACTTCCAGTGAGTAATTGAAATAATCGCCTCCCTCGAATAATTGCCTTCCCTCGAATTGAATAATCGCCCCAAGCTATTATTCGAGGAAATACGACTGCCTGTTAGGTCAATTCTGTGCTGAAGTCATTACTTAGTACCTTTAACAATACACAAACTGCGCCTGTAGAGTTTAGAAAAAGATGTCAAACAAATTTCATCAGGATTAGGGAGCACTAACCATAACCTTTTTTGGTGATTTTTGCAGGCATGGCAAAACTTGAGAAAGTTGGCCAAGTTTCAATCCATGTCTTTCCTTGCCATCCGTCAACAGGCGACAGGAAATAGTTTCTAAATGCTTACATATAGTCTTAAAAAACAAAACTGGATCAATGGTTTTGGAATTCAATCGGATGCGAAAAACGTTTTGGGTTTTTCAAATAGTGTGACATAGCCCAATTAATGAGCAAAATCTATTCTCTAGCTTTCACTGTCACGCCATCAAAAATAAAATGCAAACCATTCAATACAAAAGTCCAGAAACTGGGAAATGAAAAAAGATAAATAAACAAAAAACCTCTCAGGTTTGTGCGATATTTCACATGCGAAATGTTCGGAAAAACGTTTTACCTAAATTTATAAAGCCTCCAATAAGAAGAAACAAAAAGCAAACTGTGGTGATGAACATAAGGAAATATAAATGCATTTCTGGAAAGAGAGAAAAAACTTTATCTTGACGTTTCGTATGTTGCAACCCCCAGTACATCTTCAGAAATATTAAACTGTTGAATAACAACCAAAATTTAAATGTAGAATAAGTAACTAATTAAAGAAACAAAAGATAACATATAGAAAATATATATAAAACATACATATAGAAAACATATATAAAAGAAAAAGCATGCAAACTAAAAAGGGTAAAATTTTTCACTGCTGACATTTTCAGTTAGGGAAGGTTGTAAATCCCTAATCATAATCGAGTCTTTTTTTTTCTTCTTAAGCTAGGATGGCCAAAAAACAAAAGTATCTACTATTTATACTCCCCCTGAAGCCTTGTATGGAGTCGCCATGTTAGCCTACGTGGCAGGAGTTAAAAGGGAACTGGGAAGGGGGAATTTCGGCGCGCGAGCTGAGGGAGAAAGGAAAGGAACGCCTGAAAGGAGACCATTGTTTTCTTCATTTTTCACGCTCAGATTCTGACATTGAGATAGTGATTGGTCAGAATTAATGAAATGTCAATCTTCGACTTAATACCTTTTTCCGATTGGTTGAAAACAACATCACGCCATTTGAGTAACTCAACATATGTTGTTAGTAAGGCGTGATGAGATTTCTCTACGGGAATTTCTCGTTGGAGGCCAGCATCAATTTAAGCTTACAAGGAGAAAAGAAAATAAAAGCAGCTAAAGAACCGTATGACGGAAAAGGCCTGTAAGCAGATGAGTTTCACTGACTAGTTTTGAAAAGTATCATCTACTAACGGCTTGTCGGTTTTACTCACTAGAAGAAAGAAAAGAAAAATCATGCTGCCTGTGTGCTTGTTATCTGCTGTTTGACCCGCGTTATCAACGGCAAGATTGTTGAAGACGAAGCGAACTATAACCCTCAGCTAGGAACTTACTTTAATAATTAATTGCTGCCTTCTTGCAGACTCTCAGTCTTTCCCCGCTACCAGCGTTCTTTTGTGTGCTGCAATTCGTCCTGATAGAAATTCAGTGAGTGACGGCAAAGTGTTTTACTTTTTCTCACACAAACATTGCATTGAAATTTGCGAAGAGCCGCTACATTTCTTTTAAATAGTTTACCAGATTTCTTCAGCAACAACTTGAATAGATTTATGCTGGAGTTTATGTAACTCGGTACGCGTCGTTGCAAATTTCAAGGAACGTTTTTAGTCTCCCTTGCGTAAGCAGCGAGACTCATAATCAGCAACGCGTTAGAAATGTGCGGCGCCAAAGGGTATCTTTTTTTAGCCGTTTTGGTCTGAAATCGGGTATGATTTGTGCACTCTAGTCTTGAATTGGGTATGTTTTTTAGAAGAAGCTACTTCATTATTTGGCGATAAGACCATTTCCCTTTTAATATTTACGCCAACCGCGTACGTGCTGTAACAGCTTGTTTAGGGCTCCGGTCACCCGCCGGGCTCCAGGGCTTAAGGTCTGAACTAGAGCTAAATAGGGTATCAAATTTTTGATCAGGTCAGAAATAGGGTTGGAAAAATCACAGATTTTGGTCTGAAATAGGGTAAGGGTTCAGGAACCGTGTCGCCAACCCCTACCCAATTTTTCTTGAAGTACCCCCCCCCCCCAGGCTTTTTTGTCGTATTTTGTACACAAATCGGGGGTCATTGTGTAAGGCGTTCCTTGCGGAGACCATGGAAACTGGGACTAAGAATCGTTGCATAAATTATTTTTTGTTGTTGTTTCATCTGACAGTTGAAAAGGTGTTGACAGACCAACACGACTGGGGACTCGTTTAGAACACGTACGCAGTTGTTCTCTCGGATGTTCTCAACATTTATTGCTAAGCTGGGCTCTAACTAAAATATCTAGCTAAATTGTCATTTAAAACGAGTATTTCATGCTTTTGAAGTTTTTTTGTATTTTGTACACAAATCGGGGGTCATTGTGCTAGGCGTTCCTTGCGGAGGCCATGGAAACTGGGACTAAGAATCGTTGCGTGATCGAAGCCACGCATGTTTTGCGAAGAAAGCTTAGGAAAGATTAAATTTAGAACTTTTTCGAAACTTGTCGGTCCACGAATTCTATCGCTTGAAAACGTCGATTACTTTGGAACAAGTGAACACTACTGAGTGGTCGAAAAAAAAAACAAGAATATCAGTTAGCAAAAGTGCGATGGTCGGGTGTTGTAAACCTTCATTGTATGCAAATGTTTCTTGTGATGAGCATGCGATTTATTTTCGGCGATGATTGAAATGACGTACCATGTAAAAAACGTTTTTTATCTCTGGCAATGATGTAATTTCTCTGGAGTCGAGGCCCTTGAATTTTCGTGTAATTGATGCAGGTTTATAGCCTGCGACAGCAGACGTATTTCTGTGCGTCGCTAACACGCGTACTAAATGAATTGAGAAACAAGTAAAAAGTATCGACGTCGATATTGTAGGAAGTAAAAAACCTTTAGCGAGTAAATCCTGTTTCGCGTAGAATTAATAGCGTCCTCATTTCTCGATCTAATTTCCAAGCAGAGCGCGTTCTTGTTTATAGTTCCTTCACTTTAGATTTCTGTTTAGGAAAACAAAAGAAAATCAATACGAGAAATATGACTAGAATACGTGCATCGCGGCCAGACTTATTTGACAGCTAGTTGTTATTTTGTCAATTAGTAGGCGAGATGGCGAAAACAATGGCTTGCTTGCAGGCGTTCCTCTCCTCCCTCCTCACTCCTTCCTCGCGGGCGGTCTCGCGCCCCAATTCCCTTCCCCTTCCCTTTCGAACGCCTGCCACGCAGGCTATGCACTCATTGAAAAATGTATGTAATGTACACCGTACAGTCAGTTGAGAGTGGTATCGTGTCCGTGGTGGGGCTTACTTGATATATTTGGCCTGGGGGGAGGGGGGCTGCAAGGTGCGAGTTGGAAGGGGTGTGCTAATTCGAGCATTTTTTTGTTGTCACCAAAAACTCAGAGCTACAACAATCAATAACTCATTTGTAAATCTCCGCCATATGTTCCTGGCGACACCTCTGGGCTGTAAACTCGAAGTGGTTCAATTTTCTCCCGCCTTTGGCATTCATCGGTTTTTCTGTCAAGCCGTGCAAGTACCACGAGGAGGCAAATGAACAGGATGGCTCCGAAGAAATATTTCATCTTCTAGCAGTTTTTGGGAAAAGGTTCCAAACCTGGGTTTTCACAGACTCAAAATTTAGAATTTTTGAACAGCTTATAAATAACAGTGTCACAGGAAAATTTCCTTCAAAGAAGCTTTCAATGGCTGGGTTAAAATGCAACGGCTGCTGTTTCATTTCAAACCGGTTTAGAACAACAATCTGATAAATGAATTTAATTAAGCGATTTATTTTTTTTATTGAAGCGCCTTTATTAAAGTGTGATTAACAAGAAATGAATGTAACTCAGAATCATTGAATAAACTGGCGTTTTTCAATACATTTGTATAGCGAAAGATTACTTAATTTTAACTTGGTTTAAAACATTTAATGTTAAAATTTTAAGATCTCCAGAGACCTACACTTCACTTAACACAAAGTGCCAGAAATATCTCAAAAATCTTTCGGAATTATCTTCATCTCGGTTTTCTTGACAGAGTAGCAGCTACCCTTTGGCCAACTGAGCCAGCGCATTCCTTAACAATCGTTCTTACCATTGAGGTACAGACCATTCAGGTTGGAATGGTGACAACCGTTGTACCACCAGGCGCCTTTATGTTCCAAGGCACTGTTTGCACTTTCTTTATCGTTATCACGATCCTTGGTGGAAAATGACATACCACGATGCACACCAAGCCAGTAGTATAGGAGGGATGTTTTATGGCCCCTTTTTGCGCAGGAATCTCATTAGCGTGCGCAGGAATAAATTTAACGCCAATGACGTCATAACCTTTTGTCTTGATCTCATGAATAAAATGCGCAGGGATGCCATTAAGATAAGGTCATGTGTTATTTTTAGTTGGTTTAGGTTTTCTAGTTACTTTAAGGTCGATAAACGTCTTCGTTTTCGATTGGTTAGTTATAAAATCAAGGAGGCGTAATGTAATTATGCAAGTCCTATTTCCTGCTGCTGTGATTGTACTAGTTCCGGTTCACTGACTTTTGGCGGGCAAATCGTGCATATTAATGAGGGCAAAGACAAACTAGGAGAACAGGATAAACGACGACGACACTAACAGGATCAAGGGCAAGTGACTAAAAACCGCCCGTTTTCGTGCATATTAATGAGGGAAAAGGCAAAATAGCTCTTTTTTACACTGCAAACAATGTTTTACTTAACCCTCTCCTTTTCACAATTTTGCTATTTTCCTTCCGCAATTTTTTTATTCCCATTTTTCCCTCCTCCTCCTCCTCATTTCTATTGTTTACCCTCCACCACCACCACCACCACCGCCACATTTCTATTGTTTTCCCTCCACCACCACCGCCACCACATTTCTATTGTTTTCCCTCCTATACTACTCAAGCCCATCACCAGCGGTTCCTACAAAAGGGGAAAAAAGCGAAATATCTGTCTAACTTAGGTCTAACTATAAAACTTTCAGAAGCCTATTTTTAAATAGGTGTCAGGAGCCTTAAAAGGCTCCTGACACCTTTGACGATTTTCAAGTTTTGATAAAGATGGCTGACAGTCATTAAAACTGTCAGCATCATTAAGAGTTTTCTTGGCTATGTTTTGAAAACATTTAAATAGGTCTAACTTATATTTCGCAGAGTTTTTGAACTGGTCGATTTCACTCCTGCATATTAAACAACCTCAGTCTCTAATTAATCCAAACGAGACGAAACACTTATAGGTTTTCTTAACACAGAATTAAAAAGTCTTTCGACAGGTCTTAAAAGGAACATTTAAAACAACATTTGGTAAAGCTACGAAACCGCCAGAGATCTTGTGCTTGCTGATAATTCAATTAAATACCCTCATTATTCATTCAAAATATTTCCCCGATTCTGATTGGCTAAAAGCACACGCATAATTCACCATAACCAGTTACGGAGGACCAAATTTGGAAGAATTTTGTGTTTAACGAGGAGATGACGTCAAAAATGCAGTGTTCTTGCAGGTTGATGCACTGTTAACCGAGAAGACCTGGGGACGAGGGTGAGTTGTTTTGGCTGCGAAAACAAGAAATGGCAGACATTTCACTCGTTTCAAGAGTAAGAACTAGGCGAAGTTATAGCTAAAAAAATGGCAAGAACAACAAGAACACAACTCGAAGGGCGATATCTGCTATTTGGAGAATATTCGCGGAGCTGAACAACCCTAAACGTGCACTAAAGAAGGTGAACTTAACATCGATTGAGGTAAGCATGTTTTAGCTTTGTTTTTAAACTAGGAATTATTTTGAATGAATAATAAAACAATTTTTGAATTCGGCTTTCGTATCATATGAAGAATTATGGAGATCTCGAAGGGTGTTATCCGCCTCGCCCTACGCCCTCTAACGGATAACACCCTCCTCGATCTCCATAATTCTTCATAAGAAACTCAGCCTCATTCATTAATTGTTAATTATTTCTGAACTCTCAAGACCTGGGCCAATCCTTTTAAAACGTTTTGATCTAATATGACATTATAAATAAGGTCAATTGTTGTTGTAAAAATCACTCTGATAACTTCCACATTCCAATCGCGATCAATTCCAAGAAAAAAATATTATTTTCTTGCATTCTTTTTTCTTCTTTTAGGCCATCCTTTTTTTTCTCCGTTTAGCGTCGTCCGACCGACCCAAATTTTCGGCATTTTCCAAAAAAAAGTAAGAACGTAGTTAAACCATTTTTCACTTGAAATAATCCTGTTAATCTGAAAAATAGCTAAAAATGGGCATACTAACAGCACAGACAACAACAGGAACAAAAACATGAACATTTTTTACCGTATATTGTGCATTGAATGTTAACTTTTAATGTCGTCCTGGGTTACCAGGGCCTTCTATTCCGACTTCTTGTGATTTTTTTTTTCAATCCGACCGACCGACCCAATATCAGAAAACGCATTCGACGCTAAACGAAAAAAAAAAAGGGGGATGGCCTTATTGTATTTGCCAATTAGCAACATTTTTCGCCGACTGACTCTTTTTTAGTCTTACATAAACTTACCCGTATAACTTCCCAAGTTCAGTTGGTATTTCACTCTCTCACTTGTCACAGAGAAGGAGCTGTACTCGGCAAATGCAGTTTTTCCATGAATGTCTTCCAAGTCGACACGGAGTTTATAACCACCGCTTACAGTCAACCGTTGTATCTTATCCAAACCAAGCCAAATTCACCGTTCAGATTACCAAAACCGCGTTTGTAATCATTCCAAGCAAGGAAGAAATCAACAGAGCCATCTCGTCTGTTCTGAAACACTGTCCAACCTCCACCGGCACGGGGGGTGACAGTTCTAACAAGGGCTGTCTCGGGAGAAAAACAAAAACTTATTCCGGGAATCTGGAGATTTTGCCGGGAATCGGGAAACCTGGGAAATTTTTCGGGAAATATGAGATATTTTCGGGACATTGAGCAAAGATTTGATACTACATGTTATCAAACAATATATATGCACAGTGATATGCACCCTGTGTATGCGCTGTATTTTGTGTATTTTGGCACATGAAAACAGCTTAACTCCCCATGAAATGAAAAGACCAAGCAGCAACGTTTCCAACCAAAATAGCAGTTGGAGTGCGATTGACCACGTGCAATCCCCAGCGGATTGACACAAGAACCGTGCCGGTGCAAGGCACATACTATCAGTATACTTAGCTGAAAGTGATATATATCCAGAACAATTTCAAAAACTGCACAAAATATAAAATATAATCGACTACGTCTACGCGAAGTCACGCCAATAAAAATAAGCATAAAATTACAATTGATTTAGAGAACAATTTGGACAGAATTTGTCCTGTCAGAACACTAGAAATGACGTTTCAGAGCTCTAAGATTTCAAAATTTTCTGGGGGAGCACGCCCCCAGACCCCCCTAGTGGCTGGCCCCTTCAGCGCTTGCCTGATTTGTCGGTGATTAAAAAAAGACCCCATGATTTTTTATACTTAAAAAGTTGGACAGTCTTTCTGTGTCAACATGATACCCCCAGTACCCTGCGAGCAGTTGTTTCCTCAGGCCGGACGCTAAACCACTGCTCGCAGGGTATACCTCCAGTGTTCAACTCCTCTAAACGAAAAAATAACGGCTAAGGTTGGATAATCAACAAGTTACATAATTAACAAGAAGCTGCAAAAAATCTTTAATTGTTAAAACAATTTTGCGAAGTTAAACATTAAACATGGGTAATGCTACCGAAAAATTCGGGAGGGTCGTCCAAATTTCCGGGAGGACATAAAGCTATTCATAGGACTGCCCAAACAGCCTTTGTTAGAATTGTCACCCCCCGTACCGGCTGTTTCTGATCACAGAACACTTCAAATTCGCCCAAACCATCAGGATTAATTTTATACACTCCACTGATCTTGTCACCGGACTTGTAATGTAACTACCGACCGTCGTCAGTTTATTTTATTCTATTTGTTATATTTTTCCCTTTTTTTTGGTTTTTATTTGCATTTGGTTCGCACTTCCGGTCACATGATACTCATGTGACCGGAGAGCACATGGTAGAGCTAGGCGCCATTTTTTGTTGTTGTTTTTTCTGCAAGAGCAAACAGTTCTTCAATGTACAAGTACAAGTACAAGTACAAGGACACGTTCACTGTATATTTAAAGTGACATTTTTGGTGCAAGTACAGGAAGCAATATTCAGGGAATAAAATGCTTTAATCAGGGTTCAATTTGTGGAACTCACAGTTGAAGAACTGTTCGCCGAATCGAATGATGTTTGGGTTCTCAGGGAGAACACAGCTTTGACGAGTTTGAATTTCATTGATCGGATTTTGAACTTGCTTTCAAGGAAAGCACGGCATCAAGTAAGTATTTATCTGTTATTTTTCGCATTTGCATGTGGATCGTTTTGTTCTCAGGGAGAACATTTATTTGACAAGAATTTGTTGTGATTTGTCGCATTTGGAACTTTGTCGCGTTCATTGGAATTGTGTCACATGTACGGATTATTCAAGCTTACGTCTAGTTCAATTCTTCGCGGAGAACGATATTCTAACAGGGATTGGTTCTCATTTACGTCTGGATTTGTTGCTCATTCAAGTGTGTGGGAACGTTTCGGATCGTTTTGTTCTCAGGGAGAACATTTATTTGACAAGAATTTGTTGTGATTTGTCGCATTTGGAACCTTGTCGCGTTCATTGGAATTGTGTCCACGTCTACTGATGATTCAAGCTTACGTCTAGTTCAGCTCTTCGCAGAGAACGATATTCTAACAGAGATTGGTCTTATTTACGTGTGGATTTGTTGCTCATTCAGTTGTTTGGGAACGTTTTGGATCGTTTTGTTCTCGGGGAGAACATTGGTTTATGCGTACGATTTTCGTGTTATTTGACACTGCATCACGCTCGTTGCTTTGCGAGAATTGTTTTACATGTACAACCTTTGAGATTTGTGTGGGAAGTTTATATTATTTATTTGCTATCAGAGAAAATAGTGGATTTCTAAGGTATGTGACAATAGCCATCTTGTTTGTGTTTGGAGTTTATTGGTTTTGTGGCCAATAGTACAGTGGAGCAAAATGTCTGTTCGATCAGTGCCTGTTGCTGACAAACTGAACAACAAAATGTCCAGAAAACTTTGTCAGAGGGCAGACTTGGAACCCAATTAAGAAGAAGTTCCCGAGTTAAAGTACCATCTAATACAGATTTTGAAAGTAGAACAGCTGAGAGGGCAAATACATTGAAATATTCCTGTGCAGGTTATGTTGCAACCCTCACGAGACTGCGAGGGAACATTCAAGCGATAATTGAGAACTGTGGAACTTTGGAGGACTTACAATTAAAGCGAGATTCGTATGAAGAAGCTTGGAGGAGAATCGTGAACACCCATGAAGAGTACATTGAATGTCTTGATGTTCTTGGTCGTTATGAGGAAGTTGAAAGGGCTGACGCTAACTACAAGGAGCAGATGTCAAAGAAAGCAACATTTGACAATGAAATTGAAACATGGAAATTCCAAGTCACATCTAGTATTGAGAAACGAGAGAATGACTTAAAATCCTATGCAAGAAAGTCAAGGAAGAGTACGAAAAGCGGGTCAACCGGCTCAAGTTCAGCTTCATTAGCAGTGGCGTAGAAAAAGGAAAAACTTTTCCTAGCCCAACTGAAGACCAAGCAAGTGCTGCAGGAACAACAGTTACAGCGCAAATTAAGTGATCTTCAATTTGAGAAGGACATGTTGGAGGCTAAGGTGGAGGAGGAGCGGGCTAAAGCGAGTCTTAATGTGTATGAAGAGTTTGAGAATCAATGCAGGAAGAGTCAGTATAGGGAGCGTTTAGCAGAGCTTATACCTGAGGAACCCTTTACATCCACATGGGAATCAGGCGGAGAATGTGGCTCAGTCTCAGTTAATTGAGCCACACGAACAACTAGTACAAGAGCTTGCACCTCTGGAGCGGGTACCTGCATTAAGAGACAACGAGAGAATCATGAATTCACCTGCTAAGACATTTCAATCAGCAAGCGTTACAGTGCCCAACCCAGTGTTCTCAGGAACCGAGCGTACAGTTTATGTTGATGAAGCTGGAACAGGTAAACATACAGAGCAACCGAATAACGCAAAGGACACTGAAGCATTGAGAAATCCACCTGTAATTCCATCAGTGCCAAATTTATCACAACAAGTACAGACACCATTAACAACCCACTTTAACACCAAAGAGTACTCACAATGGCCAACTCAGGTACCCTGGTCCCAGACCCCTGGTGCAGTCCCAGCAGAATGTTATGCGAGAACCATTATCGGTGACACCAGATAGCAGAGGAGAGATAGTACAAGCACTGCGTCAAGTTGTTTCTGCCCCAAGGATTGAGTACATGAGATTCGATGGAGACCCTATAAAGTATGTCTCGTTCATGCACAATTTTGAAACCTGCTTAGAGAAAGATAACCCCGACAACTCTAGGAGATTACAGCTATTAATCCAACACTGTTATGGCAAGGCAAGGGATGCCATTGAAAGTTATGTGAATCTACCGGTAGACGAGGGATATTATGTAGCAAAGAGTACCTTACGCGAAAACTTTGGACTACCTCACATCATAGCCAAAGCACATATCAAGAAGTTGGAAGACCTACCTCCCTTGAAGCAGTCGGATGGAGCAAGTTTACTTGAATTTGCGCGCCATTTAGATGTTGCCAATAGAACACTGTCAGGCATGGGGCCTGAATACGTCAGTGATTTGAACCACACGAATACGTTAAGGGAACTGAACAAGAAGCTACCACTGTTTATGAGGGTCGAGTGGACAGAATGTGCAGGAAGGATTATTTCATTTGGAGCGAAACCTAAGTTTGCAGACTTCCTTAAACACTTAAAGGACAGAGCTGCGCTTGTTAATAATGAGTTTGGAGAGGATCTTAACGCTGCTCCTTCGAAGGAAGGGAGAATGTGAATCGGAGAGACCAACGAGGTCGAAATCCTCGAAGACTCATGTCACTATTTGGAGGTGTCCGAGGTCGACAGGGAAATTGGGGACAGAACCAAACAATGCCTGCTTGTACCGTTTGTCGTGGTCAGCATGGATTGTGGAGGTGTGATAAGTTTAAGAAGCAATCTCATCAAGACAGATGGAAAGTAGTGCATGAACAAAGCCTTTGTATCAAGTGTCTCCAGAGCGGTCATTTTGCAAGAAACTGCCCCAAAACTCAGTTCAAATGTCAAGTGGATGGATGTAAGAAGGAACACAACACACTGCTACACCCCCCTCCAGCAGATTCAACCCCACCAAGTGTTAATCCACGCCAGCTTAATCAGGAAGAAACAAGGGCGAACACCAACAGTGAAACCAGTGGAGTAACTAGTGAAGGTGCTGCCGTAACTGCTGCAACTGGGGCCGGCGAGCGAGTCTGTCTTAGTGTTGTTCCAGTCAAGGTCCTAGCCAAAGGTAGCAATTTGATACCTGTTGAAACATATGCGTTGTTGGACAGTGGCTCAGAAGTGACTCTTTGCCATGAAAAGTTGAAGGAGACATTGGGTGCAAGTGGCACGAGGCTGGACTTCACTTTAGCAGGGATGACGGGCTCAACCAGAGTGGAAAGTCAACAAGTAGATCTTGTGGTGATGTCAATGGATGAATCAGTGACAGTGGAGCTTTCAAGCGTCAGGACAGTCAAGCATATGCCTATAACTGAGAGCTGTATAGCCAAGAAGTAGGACCTTGAAAATTGGCCTCATTTGCGTGATATTGAGTTACGACAGTTGGACATCACAAGTGTCATGTTAATTGTTGGTCTTAAAGACAACCCAAGCTTGTTCTTGCCGTTAGAATGCCGAGCTGGTGGCAAAGGAGAACCAGTAGCAATTAGGTACAGCCTGGGATGGACGGTGATAGGTCCTGTTGGTGGAGAAAGCTGTACCGCCGAACGCTCAGTCAACTACCTACGTATGGAAGATAGCTCTGTTGTGTGCGCAGGTGGTTTAGATTTTGAAGATTATTTTCTTTGCAAAGACCACAAGAAGAGTGTTGTGTTGTCTACAGGGCTAAACAGTGAAGATGCTTATGAAGAAAATGTTGCAGACATGAACTGTGTCCTCGAACTAGAATGTAATGCCAATGAACCCAAGCATCGTTTACGGATAGATGAAATTGATCGTCAAGCTCGGGACGATGAGCTTAGTCAACAGTTAGAGCGACTGTGGAGAACAGGTTTTGAAAACTGCGAAGTCGAGACGCGAGTTTGTGCATCGTTGGAGGACAAGAGGGCCCTAGAAATAATGGAGAGAACTCTTAAGATGGTAGATGGACACTTTCAGGTTACCCTGCCTTGGCGACATGAGCCACCATTTTTACGTAACAACAGGGTAGTTGCAGAGCGAAGAGGTTTGCTTCTAAAGAAGCGACTCCTGAAGGACGAAGCCTTGTTGGAGAAATACAAGACAACAATGGCTGATTACATTGAAAGTGGACACGCTGAAAAGGTCCCCGATGGAGAGTTAGAAGTAAAGGACAGACCGGTGTGGTACCTACCTCATCATCCCGTAACTCACTCTTTAAAGCCCGCCAAAGTGAGAGTCGTTTATGATTGTGCTGCCAAGTACGGAGGGACGTCATTGAATCAACAACTTTTACAAGGACCTGATCAAACAAATCAATTAGTGGGTGTCCTTAGTCGGTTTAGACAAGAGCCCGTTGGAGTGGTAGCTGACATTGAAGCGATGTTCCATCAGGTGTTGGTGGAACCTAAGGACTGTGATGCACTTAGATTTTTGTGGTGGCCCAATGTAGACTTGTCTAGAGAATTGGAAGAATATAGAATGGTTAAACACCTATTTGGAGCCACATCTTCCCCGAGTATTGCTAATTTCTGTTTGAAAAAAACCGCCGAGTTACATGGAGAAGGGTTCGAGGAACAGACAGTGGAAACGGTCAAGCGTAACATGTATGTGGACGACATGATGAAGTCAACAAACACTACCGAGAAGGCAGTTGTGCTGGTGAGTGAACTCCAGGAGCTACTAACAAGAGGTGGTTTCCATTTGACAAAGTGGTATAGCAATGACAGAGATGTGCTAGCAGCGATTCCAGAATCTGAAAGGGCTAAGTCATTTGCAAACTTGGACTTAGAGAAATTGCCGACCGAATCTGCTCTAGGTCTCAAATGGAACACAGAGGAAGACAAATTTGTCTGGGAGGTCTTGGAGAAAATCCTTCAAGTTGCTAATCAGCGGCCAATGACACGCAGAGGAATAGTGTCAGTCGTTAGTTCTCTCTTTGATCCCCTGGGTTTTATAGCACCATACATCATGAAAGCCAAACTGTTGTTGCAAGCCCTTAGTAGAAAAAACATTGGTTGGGATGATCTCATTGGGGAGGCTGAGAAGATCCAGTGGAGGCGATGGCTGGATGATCTTCCCAAGTTACAGGAAGTGCAAGTAGATTGTTGTTTCAGACCCAGAGAGTTTGGCGAAGTAAAAGAAGTACAGCTACACCTTTTCTCAGACGCATCTCGTCAAGGATACGCATCGGTTGCATACCTCCGTGTGAAGGACGAGAACAGTCGAATTCATTGTGCATTTGTAATGGGAAAGGCAAGGTTAGCCCCAGTGCGCGAGATTTCAATTCCAAGGTTGGAATTGACAGCTGCAGTCATCTCCGTGAAACTCTCTAAGATTATCCGTGAAGAATTGGATATGAACTTCCAGAAAGTGCTTTATTGGACCGATTCAATGTCGGTGTTGAAGTGTATCAACAACGAATCAAAAAGATTCCACACGTTCGAATCCAATCGTTTGACGGTGATAGATAATGGATCTTCCCACTCCGAGTGGCATTATGTAAACAGAGATAATAATCCTGGAGATGATGGCTCAAAGGGACTTAAATTGGATGACATGTTGAAAAATGATCGTTGGTTGAGAGGTCCGGAGTTTCTTTGGGGAAATGAGAGCATCTGACCAAGGATGGTTAAAATTCCAGCATTGAAAGATGACGACCCTGAAGTCAGGAAGGAGACTCAGGTTTACACCGTTGTTGTTCAAAGTAAATACCTGGAGCCCTTAATAGCACGTTACTCGTCTTGGTGGAAGTTGAAAAGGGCTGTAGCCTGGTTGTTGCGGTACAAGGCGTACCTTTTACTGAAAGTTCAGCTGAGTAAGAGGAGCGCTTTAGTTTCGAGTGAATCCCAAGTCCAGAGCGGCGAAGTGCCATTCGTGAAATATGGCTACTTGAAGGTGGCAGAGCTTCAGGAGGCCGAGAAAGAAATCCTCAAGGAAGTACAGCAAGTGTCTTTCCCTCAAGTCATCGAGGTTCTCTCATCAGCAGGAAGTTGCGATGCAGATGGTTGTGTTAAAAGGGTCCTTCGAAAGGCAGGAACTGCGTTGCATCAGCTCAACCCACGCTTAGAGGATGGTTTGCTGAGGGTTCGTGGCCGACTAGCACTTGCCCCTGTTCCTTATGAGAAGAAACACCCTATTATCCTTCCCTACAAGCATCATGTGACGGATCTGATTATCAAGCAGTATCATGAGAGTTTAGGTCAAATGGGTCAAGAATGTGTTTTGTCTTCTTTAAGAGAAACATTCTGGGTGGTCAAAGGAAGGTCAGCAGTGCGACGAGTGTTAAGGAGATGTATAGACTGTCAGCGAAGAAACACACGCCCG